CACTCACCTCAGCCTCCCAAAGGCACGGGATTACAGGCTGAGCCACTGAGCCCAGCTATAGCCAGCTTTCTTAAAGTAACAACAAAGTTACAATGGCATCAGCAATTCTTAATTGTTATGTAAATGAGTTTGTACATGATTTGATTAAAGCCATATGAAAATTAAGAAACCAGTGAAAATGTACATAATTTCATACTCTGGGGATTAATTTACCCTGAAATCCCAATGCAAAATACCAACACACTAACACATACATAATATTAAAACAAAAAACATTCACACTAAATTGCCCACATCTAACATGATCAATGGAAAATAACAGTGCAGTTAACACCACAAAGTTTCTTTTACCAAAATTTATTCACTTATAAAAATCTCTTACATTCAAGTTTTGACTTCCTATGAACAACTTCACAATAACAATAGATGCTACTTATGAAAGGTTGACCAGAAGGCAATAAAGAACTGTCAAGAAAAGATCTGCTAACATTTTAGGAGAGCACTCTAGCGACACATAAGGAAAAATGTGGATACCCTTGTGATCCAAAAGTTCCACTTTTAGAAATTGATGCTACATAAATAAATAGACACAAAGATATTTGGACCAGGTGCAAGTAGTTCATGCCTATAATCCCAGCACTTTGGAGGATGAAGGCAGAAGAATGACCTGAGGCCAGGAGTTTGAGACCAACCTGGGCAATATAGCAAGACCACATCTCTATAAGAAAATAAAAACAGCCGGGCTCGGTGGCTCAGCCTGTAATCCCACGCCTTTGGGAGACTGAAGTGAGTGGATTGCCTGAGCCCACGGGTTCGAGACCCGCCTGGGCAGCGAGACCTCATTTCTACAATAAATCAAAAAATCAGCCAGGCGTGGTAGCGCATGCCTGTAATTCCGGCTACTTGGAAGGTTGAGGCGGAAGGATCGCTGGAGCCCAGCAGGCGAGGCTGCCGTGGCCAGGAGCGGCCACTGCACTCCAGTCTGGGTGACAGAGTGAGACTCCAACTCAAAAAAAACAAACAAAAAAAAAGATCTTTTTCAAGATATTATAGTTATTGTTTATAATAAGTAGAAACAACCAAAATGTCATTCAATAAGGATCAAATAATTATTGCATATCCTAAGATGGCATATCACAATATTGTTGCCATAAACAGTAAGTGAATATATATGTTTTTATACAAAAAAATAAATACCAAATTGTTAATTTTTTTTTTTTGAATTGGAGTCTCACTCTGTCGCCCAGGCTGGAGGGTAGAGGCACACTCCTGGTCACCTGAGCCTGCTGAGCTGAGGCAAGCCTTCTGCCTCAGCCTTCCAAGTAGCTGGAACAACAGGCACACACCACCACGCCTGGATAATTTTTTGATTTATTGTAGAGATGCGGTTTCACCAAGTTGTCCAGCCTGGTCTCAAACCAGAGGGCTCAGGCAGTCCTCTCACCTCAGCCTCCTAAAGTGCTGGGATTATAGGCGTGAGCTACCACATCCGGCCCCCAAATTGTTAATTACACTCTGAAAAGCGGGACTGTAGTTAGGAACTATCACTTTCCATTTTATATACCTTTTTACTGTTTAAATGTTTGATAGCGAGCTTTTTTGAGCTGGAGTCTCACTCTGTCGCCCAGGCTGGAGAACAGTGGCACAGTCGCCACAGCCTCGACCTGCTGGGCTCAGGGGATTCTTCCACCTCAGCCTTCCAAGTAGCTGGAACTACAGGCACGTGCCACCATGCCCGGCTAATTTTTTGATTTATTGTAGAGATGAGGTCTCACCAAGTTGCCCCGGCTGGTCTCGAACCTGTGGGCTCAGGCAATCCTCTCACCTCGGCCTCCCAAAGTGCTGGGATTATAGGCGTGAGCCACTGTGTCTGGCCTGATAGCAAGCTTTCATTTAAAAAAAATTTTTTTTCACTTTGGAAAAATGGGGAAACAATTCTCTGGCCCTCTGAATAACATTCTCTTGCTTCTTTCCACTAAATAGCAAAAAAGCATCAGTATGCTATAAAGAGAGAAAATAGTGGTACTTGAAAGAATAAATAATACATTCACAGGAACAAGAAGAGATTCTGAGAACTGGCCAAGGTCAAGTGATACTCATGAAGCTCCAATCAATGTACTCTATTGCTCTGTACCAGGTATCTCCTTTTGTCCTTTTGTGTGTGTTGTGGGAGGAGTGAAAATATAAAAGTAGACAATAAAGAAAAGAAAGTCAACTAAATGTAAAGTTACAATAAACAATGGATTCCGTTATCATGGTTATTTTAAGGTAAGAACATGTTTTATGTCACATATATCAAAAGAACCACTTGAAATTACCAGGTGACTGACACTATCCCAGTTCCACCTGGAACGAGGAAAAGGCTGGTTAGAAAGGACGGAATACCTGGGGCTCACAGCAGTGGTAAGGAGCTTCCACTTGGAGTTCTTCTATCAGTAAAGTAATAAGAGGCCTTCCTCGCTTGATTGACTTCTCATGATTTACTAGACCAATGCGGAAGGGAGTCATAGGCTAGCAAGCCCACCCAGCAGGCCCTGGAAGCTGACCTGCAATGCATTGGATGTTCAGTGTCACCTCAGACACTCCAGGCGACGGTGCTCCTTATCCTAACCCACCAGCACGAACCTCTTCATCCAATGAATGGAACATTTTATTTATGCGTATGTTCCTGCCTCAATTTCATTTTATTTCCCATTCAGAGTATATTAGTTTAGGTCCAGTTTAATGTGCTCAGAATTCCACTACTATTTCTTTTGTTTTTTTTTTGAGTTGGAGTCTTACTCTGTCGCCCAGACTGGAATGCAGTGGCCGCTCCTGGCCACCGCAGCCTCGATCTGCTGGGCTCCGGCGATCCTTCCGCCTTAGCCTTCAAAGTAGTTGGAACTACAGGCGCGCACTACCAAGCCCGGCTCATTTTTGATTTATTGTAGAGATGAGGTCTCACCAAGTTGCCCAGGTGGGTCTCGAACCTGTGGGCTCAGGCAAACCACTCACCTCAGCCTCCCAAGGCGCGGGATTACAGGCTGAGTTTTTTTTTCTTTTTTTGAGTTGGAGTCTCACTCTGTCGCCCAGTCTGGAGTGCAGTGTCACGCTCCCGACCACCGCAGCCTTGACCTGCTGGGCTCCAGCGATCCTTCCACCTCAGCCTTCCAAGTAGCCGGAACTACGGGTTTGCACTACCATGCCCAGCTAATTTTTGATTTATTGTAGAGACGAGATCTTGCCAAGTTGCCTGCGGGCTCAGGCAACCCACTCGCCTTGGTCTCCCAAAGTGCTGGGATTACAGGTTGAGCCACTGAGTCCGGCTACTATTTCCTTTAAGTGGCCATATGGTAGTAAAATCTGTGGTGATCTGGAAAAAATAAAAATAAAAAACCTTCTACCTCACTAACCTGAAAGCCCAGTTGTGCCTCACCAACCCAGATGCAATTCAATTATGGGGCCAGATACACAATTTTACAAAAGTGAATTCTTAAGAATTGAAACCACTGGGCTTGGTGGCTCACACCTGTCATCCCAGCACTTTGGGAGGTGGAAGTGAGAGGATTACCTGAACCCAGAGGTTCGAGACCAGCCTGGGCAATATGGTAAGACCTTGACTCTACCAAAAATTTTTTAAAATTAGCTGGATGTGGTGGCATATACCTGTAGTTCCAGATACTTGGAAGGTTGAGGTGGAAGGATTGTCCGAACTCAGCAGGTCAAGGCTGCGTGCCACTGCACTCCAACCTGGGTGGCAGAGTGAGAATCTGACTAAAAAAAAAATTGAAGCCAGGCTCGGTGGCTCAGCCTGTAATCCCGTGCCTTTGGGAGGCTGAGGT